GCGATGAGGTTCACGCAAAATAATCGTCTTCAGCTGAGAAAAGCCGGCGCTTGCCTTCAGGATTTGCCTTCTTGTTGGGTTTTTCCTTTGGTTCACTCACTCTTCTTAGTGCCTGATCAGTAGTGCCCGAGGGATGACGTATTTTTTGAGAAGCGGGAAATTTCCCGCAGTGACATCGGCATATAAATAATCGTCTTCAACTGACAAGTCGGGCTTTGCATGTGTGCGCATTTGTTTTTGTCTGCTGTATGAGCCACCTGCGTCTTTACATGCTCGCTGTGCGTGTCAAGATGCTCATTCGAGCTCTGCGGAACATGATGATATCTTTACTCATTGAGTTGGTTCATTCGCAACCATGAAAGATATTTTCTGTCTTCAAAGTTCTCTGAATCCGCATTGCTGACGAATATGGGTGTCGACTGTTGCATGTGCGCTGTTTATCGGAGTCATATCAGTAACACTACCTTCACTTGCAATCACGAATGCTAATGCCTCGTGACGGTGTTCCACCTGCAGGACCAAGCTGAGCTCGAGGCGCAATGCAAGAACTACCGCGCGATGTTCAATGACAACTCCGACCTCAGGAGACGCTGGGGAGGTGGCCATCTAGGCATCAAGTCGCAGCACGCACAGGAGAAGAAACAGAAGCTGATCGACGCGGAAATGAGGAAGAAGGCGGGTCTCCAAATAGCATAGACGTGATATGCATGCTCTCATGTGTCATCATGAAATGCACTGCGCTTCCAGGAACGAAGGGGGTCTAAGAATCCTCGTTAACGCGAGCCACAACACTCCCGAACATCGCGCAGTTTAAACGGACAAGAACAGCCTCAAACAGCCGTTTTGTTTGGGCAGGTCCTTGATTGTTTGTATCGGAAAGTTTTGGAGCTGCGCTGCTTGCAGGCACTTCCTAACAGCGCATAGCTCGGTATGATCACAGGGAGCGAAGTCTTCTGTAGTACAAGAGGAGTAGCAAGTAGCATAGCGCTTTCATGCATTAGTATAGACCATCTCAGGTTACTTCCTTTTGCTGTTTTTTTGGTAGCTTGTGGTTAGCCGTGGATTTGCTTCAGAGCTGCGCCAAGTGTGGTCACTTCAGAAATCTAGAGGAGTGTCGATGATGGACTGCTGAACTATCGCTGCGTATTGCCACAGAGACGGTCTCGTTATAAACACAAGGGACAGTCTCTGCCGTCTGCAGCGAAGACTATGCCATGCTGCTGACCGTATAGGAACCTCTCTCTGAATGCATGGTGAGGGGAGAGGGCTGACAGCGCGTCAACATGCCAGTTTTATCGTGTCTTTTCCGTGCCAACGGAAGGCGTTTTCGGCACAGTGCATGCACGTGTATGTTTCCCTGCTTGGGGGTGAGGCGGATAGCTCCAGCTAGTGGCTGGACTATACTGCCTTTCTTGTGAGTGTCTAAGGAGGAGACCTCGGCAGTCTGTGAATGTATCCGCTTTGCAGTGGCGTTCTGCACATGCTGCCTTGTTTGGATGGCCAAACTTTTACTAAGGGCGAAAGGATGAAGGCAAATTATCCGTGTTTCAGCTGACCTTCGGGTACTGTGATGCACCTATACAGTTTGTATTCCCTGACGAGCCTTCTGTTTCTCTTCGATCGTCGTGCGATTATTTGTGAAGAGAGCTGCAGTGGATACCGCTGCGTATTGCCACAGAGACGGTCTCGTTATAAACACAAGGGACAGTCTCTGCCGTCTGCAGCGAAGACTATGCCATGCTGCTGACCGTATAGGAACCTCTCTCTGAATGCATGGTGAGGGGAGAGGGCTGACAGCGCGTCAACATGCCAGTTTTATCGTGTCTTTTCCGTGCCAACGGAAGGCGTTTTCGGCACAGTGCATGCACGTGTATGTTTCCCTGCTTGGGGGTGAGGCGGATAGCTCCAGCTAGTGGCTGGACTATACTGCCTTTCTTGTGAGTGTCTAAGGAGGAGACCTCGGCAGTCTGTGAATGTATCCGCTTTGCAGTGGCGTTCTGCACATGCTGCCTTGTTTGGATGGCCAAACTTTTACTAAGGGCGAAAGGATGAAGGCAAATTATCCGTGTTTCAGCTGACCTTCGGGTACTGTGATGCACCTATACAGTTTGTATTCCCTGACGAGCCTTCTGTTTCTCTTCGATCGTCGTGCGATTATTTGTGAAGAGAGCTGCAGTGGATACCGCTGCGTATTGCCACAGAGACGGTCTCGTTATAGACACTAGGGGCAGTCTCTGTCATTTGCAGCGAAGACTATGTCTTGCTGCTGACCGTATAGGTACCTCTCTCTGAATGCATGGTGAGGGGAGAGGGCTGATAGCGCGTCAACATAAATGGTTGCACTGGGAATATTTGGACGGAAGTTTGTCAAGAACGCATGTCTCCACACTGGTGAGTTGGATTGCTTTCGGTACGGGGCTGGTGTGTAAATGGCTGACTGCTCGCGCTTTGGTGGCGGGAAGCGGAAAGCCCCTGCTGATGAGCAAACTATACTGTCGTTCTTCCGAGTCTTTCAGTGAGGAGAACACCGGAGACCTGAACTGATTTTCTAAGTGGTTGTCCGCATTGCATTCGTCTCATGAGTTACGTTATGGATTGGGTGGGCAAATTTTTATTAAGGGCGAAGTGATGAGGACATATGATCCGTGTTTCAGCTGACCTTTGGGTACTATGATGCTCTTCTACAGTTTGTATTCCCTGACGAGCCCTCTGTTCGGTTGTGGCAACTATTCATTACTTTTGGAGGGGCATGTAACGGACACCGCTGCGTATTGCCACAGAGACGGTCTCGTTCTAGGTACCAGGGGCAGTCTCTGCCATTTGCAGCGAAGATTATGCCTTGCTGCTGACCGTATAGGAACCTCTCTCTGAAGGCATGGTGAGGGGAGAGGGCTGACAGCGCGTCAACATCAGAAGTGATTGTACTGATAATATTTCAGCAGCAGCTTGCCAGAGGGGGAGAAGCCTGCAAACATGTGTCCGCATTTTTTACTCAGTTGCAATGCTTTCGGTACATTACAGGTGGCTCACTGCTTGCTTTGTGCTAGAGAGAGGCGAATAGCTCCTGCTGATGACAAAACTATACTGTCGTTCTTCCGAGAATATCAGTGAGGAGAACAAAGGAGACCTGAACTGATATGCAGGATCGCTGCATCCCTTGCATTATGAACTGCGTTTCCTATAAAGGCGAAATGATGAGGACAAACGATCCGTGTTTCACCTGACCCTTGGGGGTATTGATGAACTATTACAGTTTGTATTCCCTGAAAGGCCTTTTTTAGATGCTGTTTGTGGAGGGGTGTACAACAAGCATCGGTGCTTATTGCCAGGGACGGTCTTGTTCTAAACATCCGATACAGTCTACGCCATTTGAGGCGAATACAATGCCTTGCTGACTGTGCATTTCTTCCGATTACCTGCTGCTGCTGTAAAGCGGATAGTTGCAACTGATGAGCGTATTGTACTGTCGTTCTTCTGATTTTTAGTGAGGAGAACATGGAGACCTGAACTGATATTTTTAGAGGCTCTCCGCTTCATCTTAACATTCTGCGCAAGCTGCATTGCGAATAATACGGATTAGTTTCAGATGAAGGCAGGGTGATGAGGACAACCGATCCGTGTTTCAACTGACCTTTGGGGATTGTGATGCATTTTTACAGTTTGTATTCCCTGAAATGCCTTCTGTTTTTGCTGCATTAGGTGATGGGTTGCCTGTGGAGGTGGAAGAGCTCGTTGTGGCATTCTTTCCCGAGTATGTATATGAGATGTTCAAGGGCACCGCAAAGAGCCTATGGCGCAGTCCTTCCCTTTGGGATAGTCATTGGTGACGTACGACCACCGGTCGTGCGTCACCAATGACGTTCCGGTTCTAGGCGGATACGAGCTTAGAATACTCGTTGTGACTACTTCGCTTACAGCTGCTGTGCTGCTTCTTTGAAAATACGGTGGGGAAATGCAGCGGGAGTTTCACTGATGCTCTCGTAGTTTGTCCAGTCCAAACGGCCAATACCCGGGTTGTGGCAAACAGTAAACAGATCTGGCGAAGCTAACCTGTGGCAGAAAGCCCAGCGCGCCGCTGTTCGAACGCTTCTCAGTTTCTCTTGCAGTAACTGTAACGACTTCAAGTAATTCTATCGAGATGCTGTGTTGCCGACCACATTTCAGATCTGCAGCTTGGGCTTAGTCCTAGTTTTGCTTAGTCCTAGTTCTGTACTTTGCGTATCTCGGTCTGAGCCCTTCGCGCAAATTTTACAAACCAGCGGAGACTTACCATCGCGCATATTCATGTTGTGAAAGGAACGCTTCCTTCACAAGTTTTGCAACGGCTTTCCTGAGGGCCTGTGAGGTCCTGGTGATCCAATGCATGCATGTTAGCTGCAAGAGTGCGCGGTTGGTGCGGAGGACACGTCGCTGGCCGTGGGAATCCGGGGTGCGGGAACACGTCAGTAATCAACTGGGTCGGACAAGTATATCCAGTCGAAAGAGCCGTGCGACAGGCTGCTTTTATGTGAATGTTGACCTTGGGTCCAACATAGTACTGCCAGTTAGATCCTATAACATTACGAAGTTCATCTGGTTCCATAGCTGGACGGCGGCAACCTATGCACTACAGCTGTCAGTGGTCCTGTGAGCATGCTCCACCTATCTGCGAAGCGTGTCCCTTGCTTCACCGACAAGCTACTGCTAAAGGCTAGCCTTCATCAGCTCAGCTGCCGGGCTCAGTTCGTGCGTCGCCAAAGGAAATATTAAGTGCCAAGACATGCTGGAGGAAGTTCGAACAAAATACGAAACCTTTTCAGGTACTGTTACAGTCTAACTATCCACTGGCACTGTCGCCAGATTAAAACCGTTTGAACTTGCAGTCATGCGCTGCCGCCCCGGCGAGCAATCTGTAATTCCTCTACCATGGACTCTGGACTGGGCCTTACCAAATCGCTTCATTCGCATGAAGGGGCAAAAGCTCACCAGTTCCACATGATGGTGTGGTGTTTGTGTTTTCCCTATCTGGGATCATGTTGTTTATTGCCTTCGGTGCAGTAGTGGCGTAGCCGAACTTTAAGCATTTCGACGACAGAGGGAAGAGTATAAAGGTTTTCTGCACGTTTCAAATTGCTGGTCCCCATGTAGACCGGCTGGGGTTGATTCGCCTGAAGTGGTTGCCGCTGTTGCTTGCTGAGCTGCATCGAAGTCTCCTCATCGTTCGAACGCAGAGGGACATAGGCATCGCTTCCTTTTTGCCCTCCACTACTTGTTGAAATAGATGGCTGGACATCATCTGTACCTCCAGGCACCACCCACTTTAGGCCAAACAGTGGGAGCTGCCCTCCACTGGTTGCAACAAAAACAATTGTTTTGGCCCCTACAGAGCGGGCGTGTTTCATTATGGCTCGTGTAGATCGCTGAGGCGGCAGCAATAGCTCCACGCGAAGGCCGAGCTCCCGCAGCCTACAGCACAGCATCTGTGCGGGCGCAGACCGGGGATCATACGTGTCTGCTACTGAATGCAGCATCTGCGCAGCAGACTGAATATCACATGCGTCTGCTACTGAATGCTCGTTTTCTCCGTCAGTAGTGCTTTCCTGATTAGCTGGTGCTTTGCCGGTAAGAGCGCCGCCGTGCCTTCTACGCGAACGCTCCGCCGCGGATTTGTCATGCAGGATAACCAGAACATCAACAGCGCTCCCAGCGTGGGGCAGAAGACCCTTGCGTTGCAGCAGTTCCATGAGTACGCAATCACCCATACCCAAGCCGACTCCAGTGACTGCAGGCCTCATTCCTTCTCGGGTGTGAAACGCTTGTGCGTTTGAAGACTGATTTGCCGTTGACATCTCCACTTTATTCTTAGAGATATGAGGCCCTGTATCCGTCTTCACCACTTCCGGCGAGTTGGCTCTAGTTCCCCCATAGCATCCACCTCCTAAAATGGCTCTGAAAGCGGCCTCTGTATCGAAAGCTTCAAAAACGATGCCCGCATAGTAGTGAAGGCCCCGCACAATCAGAAGATCCATGTCAATCCAATCCCCTATGCCGTAGCCCTCTTTTAGCAAATGAAGCACATACCGCAGCTCTCTTACAGAGTCAGGTAGCTCTTGAGAGCTTTGGCTTTTACCAGAATCAGCAAAACTTTGCTCTTCCAGATGGTTCTGACTTGAGATATCACCGTTTCGGCAGTCCGCGGAACGGCGCCTTTCTAGCTCCCGCAGTTCTTCGGATAACTCGAACGCCATGGCATCGCTGTTAACGTCGAACGAAAGTACTCGATGCAGGACGCGGCGGGATTTATCCAAGCTGATGTTTAGCCTTTCCGCGAGCGCCTTCTGTGTCTCCTCTTGGCTTTGTCGGCTGGCACGATCCAGCACCTGCATTGCAGTGATGAGTTTGTGCTCAAAGGGGCATCCATCATGTGTAATCGTTCTGGTGTTAATGGAAGATTCAGAGACAGAGGTGCCAACCTCAGCAGCTCTTAAATCTTTGTCTGTCTTCAGAAGATCGCTTAGCAGAGCGCGGCTCCCTATACGAATGCGCACATCCCTCGAAGAAAGGCCCACATTTTGGAAGAGGCGAACTGCAGCGGCTATCAGTTCTGCCGTTGCAGGGGGACAAAATTGTGCGCGATTTCGCTTTGCTTTTTGACTCCAGTCACCTTGGCGTGCTGCCTCTGATGGAATACCACCGGAAGGGTTCGTCTCAGGAAAAAGGGGAAGTATTATATCGAGGTTCCACTGGAAGTGCTCCCGCCTTCGGCCACAACCAGGTCTCTCATGTCGCCAAACTCGTTCTATAGAATACCAGCGGCGAGCTATTCCTGAAGGCTGCTGTTGCTGTTCTCTCTGGAGCATACGGGCTAAGGAAGGCGTGATCTCAGGACGCAGACAGAGGGGATCTGGACCGCTTACGTGCAAACGGTAGATGTGAGGGGGTATAATAGCAGGTGGAGAAGAAGGGATTTCATATGGTTTGCCAATAAGTGCGGAAGGTGCATTGTTGGAACCCGAGGGAGAGAAATGAGAGTAAAGAGAAGAGCGCTCGACTGAGGGGGCTTTGTACTCGCGAAACCCAAACTCTGAGGCCACCTGGTGCCACTTAGAGAAAACGTATTTGTGAGCGGAAAAAATGCTAGGCGGGAAGTCCCGAAAACCCCGAGGTGGCAACAGAGAGTCTGCAGAGGCCCCTGCTGAATGAGCCTCTGGACTGCTTCCTTTGGCATCCTCGTTAACAAACTTCTCTGCTGGATTTTGTTGGAATGCTGTCTCGCTGCTCGGCGAAGCACGCAGAGCACAAGAACGCTCAGCTTCACTGATGTAGCCGCTTTTGTGCCTTTGAGCAGAGCAATGAAGCGCCGTTGCTTCAGTGCGAGACGCCAGTTTTGTGAGGAACGCACATTTGCTGCAGAAAGACCCTTTAAAGACTAACCTTCCTACTTCCCCATTACTTAAGCCGTTGCCATTTCTGTCACGGTTTTTCGTGTACTTGAAGGAAGCACATGAAAGGCTTGGGGCCGACAGCCCCGCAGAACACCCAGTTTTCACCCATGCTTCTCGTCTTTCTTTGAATGGTCGGAAGGGCACGATAAGAGTAGCCCGTACAGTAAGGAAAGCCTGAGCAAGTCCCAAGAGTAGCCAGGACAGCGGCCGCATGCTAGATACGAAATCCAATGCATGACTAGTATAACCACCTCTTTAAGGGCCCTCCAGTTCAAACGTAATCCACTGCCTCCGCTGCTCAGTGTGTGCCATCGTCGGAGGGTGACCAAGATTCCCTTGACTTGATTCCTGCTGCAGCCACTCACTTAATGCACCGATGCTCGGTAGACACTGCGCCCGCAACAGTCACTTGCATTTCCATATGCAGCATTTCCCCAATTTTGCGAAGGAATCTTAGCAATTCTGTCCCCTCGTTGTCTGGGGGTAGAATGTGAGGAGATCCATTATAAATCTCGTGAAAATAGATATCAGGCGCACTATTGCAAAATCTGGGAAATCCCCCGAATTCTGAGTGAATAAGAGACAGCTGGCATTCCATATAGTGCAGATCCCTAGCGGCCCCACAACGCGCATCGCTGTGGACAGGCACTGGCCAGTTGACATAACCACAATGATTTTTGTTTTTTTTTGAAGCTTTATTGCCTGAACTGATACAGCGCTCACTACCATTTATGCTGTATCTCCCGCTGTGGTGGCTTCCACAGTATTTGCGTTGCACGGGCCCGCCTCGTGTCCTACCGATGAGGAAGCCAGCCGGCCGCCGATGAGATTTTCAAATTCGTAATACATTCTTAATTAATGCTCTTCGAAAACACGGCACAGGCGGCGCTGCCGCATCCTGCCCTGGCTTCGGCAGTGGACCACGGCATCGTCTAGGAGTTCTTGGCCCCGAAAGCCTCTCAGAAGAAATGTCACACTTGCATTTTGGACGGGCCGTTCCCATTATTTTTAGGCGATTTCCACCTTTGATTTGCCGAGATCTACTCGGCAAGACTGTGAAGGTGCCACAGGACCTAAAGGGCCAGCTCAACTTACTCGTTGTGGGATTCAAGGCATCTCACTACAAGGATATGGACTCTTGGATTTCATTTGCACGCACGCTTAAAAAAGATCTTGTTAAAAGACGCAACATAGACGATTCACAGATCGAGACCTACAGACTGGTCATCAGGTCGGAAGGAAACATTTGCATGTCAAATCAGCATCCACTGTTCTCATATACAAATTACACCAGATGCCTGCCTAGTGACTGCAGCTGGTTGTTGAGGCATTTATGCATGCACAAGTATGGGTTAACTCACGCAGTGCTGGACTGTACTCTTTGTTCAGGCACCCAGGCGGTGTGTTGCTCCGCTGGTGGACTGACGAGAGATTACGCTTCGCAGTAGGCAGGGGGGATTTCGTACATGACGAATGCGAAACAAAGAAGACCACTGAAGAAAACGAAGGGGACGGAAGCACTCCCCTAAGACCACCGGAACAGACCGGCAACGGGGAGAATGAAAGTGGTGCAGCGGGCTACGCAACAGAAAACATTCGTTTGTCTGCATTGCAAGCAGTCCGTTCTAAGACTCTAGTGTGCTTCACTAACAAGAACGCATTTGTCGAGTCCCTTCAGCTGGCAGACGCCCAGCGGGCTTACATATTCCTTGTAGATAGGGAAGGCGAAATTTCATGGTGCGAACATGAGCACTACTCCGCTAGCAAGGAGGTAGCGATCCGTGAACTTCTGCAACTGCCGACAACAGAGGAGCAAGGCTTGCTGACTTCAGAGGACTTGAGCTCGCAACGCAGCCTGCTACCTCCTGTGTGATGCTATCATTTGATTTAAAGCATTCACGACAAACGGGAAGGACTTTTGAGAGTGGAGCTACCCCTGCGGCAGAACTGCCAGTTGTTCTCACCGGCCTGAAAAGCTGTGGAGCGTGAATGCATTTTCTGGTGCAGCAGTGTCTGAACAGGATTCTTGTTTTCAAACAAGTGAACATAATCGCGCGTCCACAGCTGAAGTGGTCAAAAGAAGGCCTCCCCATACGATTTTTTAGTTCCTGTGGGCCAATAGTGTGACATGCTCGCAGATGGCCAAGTTCCTGGCTTTCTCTTAATCTTAGGCTGCGTTAGCTTCTACGAGCCATCATAACACCAATCTCTCGCGAGAAGTATCTGGAAGAGCGAATCGCCAAACGGACTGCAGGCCTGCTTGTTTTCGTCAGAACCTCAGATTTTGCCTTTGTAGCCATGCGTGTGTGTTGCAACTGAACCAACACGATGCTCTGGTGCACTGGATCCATCTGGAGGATACGGCTGCAGCCTTGGCAGATTGTGCGTGGTTGAAGCCTGACGCTGTCCAGCAGCCTTGCACTTCAGGTTGTTCTGCACATATCCGTCAGATCGCAGCTAATCAGTGGCAAGGGGACCACACAGGCGTACTCTGCTGACTTCGCGGAGATAGCCGTACAAGGACTGAATATGCCAGCAGCTGAGCTAGCGGGCGATTAGAAAGTGAACGAACAAATATTAAAGCGTTTTACTCTGAGAAACAAGGGAAAGCGAACTCTCAGCATCAAGAATAGTTTGAGCACAACTTGAACAAAAGAGTTAGAGAGTGAGCCAAAGGCCGATGCAAGTAGAAGTAGATCTAAGTGAGCACTGGAACAAATAAACGAAATTATGTCTAATCTACATGTAGCGGTGGCACTAATAATGACTCTGGCAAAGCGTGCAAACCAACAGTAGAGAACAGATATCAGCCGGCATGATCCGGCGGCAGCAGGGGTTTCCAGACGGCCAGATACGGATGGCAGACTTCGTATAAGAATGTGAATGTGGCAACTACTGGGGATAGACACACGCACGCAGATAAAGAGCAGGAAATAGCGGCGACCACCTATGCGGAAATGAGAGCGATGACCTCCTCTGCTGTAGATTCAAGCAAGGGACTTGAAAAGGCAGAAACATTAGGAGGACGACGAGGTTCCTTGGTTCCTTCGGAGGGAGCCAGCAAAGCAATCTTGGAAACGCTGTAACGCTGCGCACAGACGACCTTCAGAGATGCTACCTTGTAGAATAAGGGCAATTAGAGTGTAGCCAGAAGTGTATCAAGTAGCTTAAAACAGTTTTGAAACATATTAGGCTCAGTGTTCTCTGCGGTTAGGCCGAGTTCGGGGATATTTCAGTGTTCGACCAATGCCTAAAAGTCGTTTTAAAACAATTTATGGTTTACGAAACATGACTAGACTCAGACTTAAACATGCACTTCAGCTACGGTAAAATATTGAGGGCACACCAAACTCAGGCCGGCCAAACGCATAAGACGCAGAGATAAGGCAGTGCTAGCGATTCTACTATGTATGGGGAGAGCAGTACCGTAGTTAAATGTGGAGCAAAAAGCCAGAGCAGCATTGGGGACAACTCCAGAATTTGGCTGGTGTAAGAATTTTGGTTAGCGCTCCCACAGATTATCAACTGAAGAATGTTGTTTGAAACTTTCAGCAGGGCGTCAGCAATGGCATAAGGAATTGCCATAGTCAGTAGATTGGAGACACTCTAACGGTTTGACGTTGCTTGGAGTAGGCGGAGTGTGTGGGGGCTCGATTTCCCGACTCTTTGTGGGGGGTTGAGATGGGCCATCATTTTGAGACAAAACGATGGAGAGCATGCGACCTGATAGTAAGCTATTTAAAGTGCTCACTACCTGCAATTGAACTGCGCTAAAGCACGACTTGTATCACTTCTGCCGAGATTAGTCCCTTTAAGGTGATGATGAGACAGAACCCATTCAGTGCAGCCGAATCTTGACAAAGGTCAACAGTCTTGAACGGCGCTGCGACAAGGCCCCAAACTCAAGCAGTACGTGCTACGCATTAACAAATGGCCTACGTCAACCCCAAAGTTTGTGGCATTGAGTACGCTGTTGCGAATAAAGTAGTGTTCACATCAGGAAGGATGTCCCTAGCTTCGTATTGCGGCAGCCAATACAGCAGCAACAAAAGCACGATAGCAACTACACCGAAAACAGTGCAACAGAGCAGCAACAATAGTCACTGGAAGGCTGCCGTGGTAACTTTGACAATATGATGGAAGCACAACGACCACACTGCAACGACAGAACCAAGCAATTAACAATTCCTTTAGTTCCTACTGTAAAAAGAGGGCAAGAACAACATCGTCACAACGACAGCGAAAAATACCGCTAAAACTCGAAACCCGTGGTGCAGCAGCGACCACAACAATCGAAACAACTGCCCCAGACGCTGGAGTGGCCACAGAAGTAACAAGATTTCAACAGAAATGTGAGAGTACCTGCACCTGTTTGGGCGGACGTGATTTTACCTTGCACAGCTGCAAAACTAGCCCATATACGTCTGAAGAGTACGTGAATCTGCACGTGGGGCAGTGGCTTGCACTCCCTGCGCAGTTTCAACCTACCCACTGGAGCCCGTAAGGTCTGTTCTCCAGAACTGGCGTGGTCATTAGTGGGAATCGTTCCATCACATGCAGTTCCCATACCTCCAGTTATCCCCCGTCAAAATTTTAAACAACGTTGAATCTTCTCTGACCATGACATGTTCAGTTACAAACCAACGTAAATATCGGGAAACTAATGAAAAGTCTTCCGCAGGGTTTCAAAAAGATAGTGAGCAATATCTGTTCGATCGCGCTGCTGGCATTGAAGAACTTCAGGCAAACTAAGTTCCACGACACGTTCATGAATATTGTGTCCCTGTAGCTGTAGAAGTTGATCTCTTGGCAGCTGAACGAATTTTAAAATAGCTATGAGATATAAGCATCTTCGCAGGCTCACAGTGTGTGGCTCTCCTAATGCTGTATGGAGAAGAGTTTTTAAAGTTCTCCACTTTGGGGTTAGTTTTGCATGAAGTTTTACGTACGCTTTATTTACTTTTCAGCAGGTCCACACACAACTTCGGCTACATGCTTTGTTGCATCCCTGTGCGCTGCATTCGGCATGTTGTGGTAGGACGTATTAATAGTTGCTTGAAAGTAAAATCATTGTGAATACAAAAAAACTCTTAAACTGGAATTTTCGATGCGAGATGTCATAAACGATTGATTAAGGTGCTCCCCGTCTTGTATCAACGTTGCGTTGGGGACTGGTGCGTTGGCTTGTTTGCAGATTATTCCAGTTTGATCCA